ACCCTCCTGTGTCTCAGACACTATAACCAATATCTACACTTTCCTACATTGTGGACCACAAAATAAATTTAGATTTTCCTTAAACATCTGGACAAGAGTTGCTTAAATAAATGTCCGTTGGTTGAATGTAGGAAGTTAGCAGCCCCAACCCTGACACCCCATTCCCAAGTATTCCCCCAAATCCCCAGGATACATTTATATGTACTAAAAATTATCCTTCATCTTCTCCCTGAACTTTCTCCTAGTGAAAATGTCCTTCACTGGTTGCAGCTACCATCACTCTAGTCTTGGCTGATACTCTCCTTTTGGCTTTCTGTGAAGACGGCCAGACTGGCCCTCTTCTGACATCTGACACAAGACTGAGATGCTGAGCAAAAAGGATCAGAGATGATGGGAGAGAAAAATGTATACTTTATAACTATTGCTTCCATACATAGCCTTGCTCAGGTACCCATCAGGTCCAGACTCCATTACAAACACAGTTCACCCCACTTCTAGGAAGGCCCCAGATGAGTTTCACTAATGATGGGACAAATTCAAGCTGACAGATGTTTAGAACAGGAACAGGGAGATAAAGAGTGTGAATTTATCTTTTAAGAAGTTTGGCTTTCACCCTATGACTTGTAAAACATCAAAAGGTCTCCTATTTTTCTGCTGTGTGCCAAAGCATGCCTCACCCTGACAGTTTTCTCAGTAACTTCAGAAAAGTGTACATGAAAGCCCAGACAGATGCCAGTAACTGAGAAAAAGTCTGTCAAAATGAAAGGAAATTGAGGAGGAGTTTTCTCCTTTCTTGGCTCCAAGAGCATGTGGCCCAAGAGAGTTGTGTCATTATCGTAAACTTCTCTTATTTAGTTTTATTTTCTCTTTTTTTAATGTGGGGTGTGGGGAAGGTTGGTGTACTAGTTTTCTACTGCTGCTGTATCAAATTACCACTTCCAATAGCTTAAAAAATACAAACATAATAACGTATAGTTGTATAGGTTAGAAGTGCACCTTGGGTTTCACGGGGCTAAAAATGAAGGCATCAGCAGGGCCATATTCATTTCTGGAACTTCTGGAGGCTGTTCACGTTCTTTAGTTCATGGCCCCGTCTCCATCACTAAAGCCAGCAATGGCAGGTCAACCCCTTTTGAAGTAGAATCTTTCTAGCACTTCTTTCATCATCATTTCTCTCTTTGTGATTTAAAGCCAGGAAAGGTTCTCTGCTAAGGACTATAATTAGACTGGGTCTACCCAAACAATCCAAAATAATCTCCCTATTTTAAAATCAGCTGAGAAGTGACCTTAATTCCATCTGTAACCATAATTCCCTTCTACCTTGTAACATAATATATTCATAGCTTCCAGGAATTAGGACTAGGACATCTTTGGGAGTCATTGTTGTGTCTACTATGGTTGGTTAAAGACAAGGAGCTAAAATCAGGAAGACATAGGCATTATAGTGAAAACTGGACCAAAAAAGCGCCCCATCCCTGCCCAAAAAAGGCAACAGGTTCTTGATACCATTAATCAAAAGGAAAGTTGGTACAATGTTAGAGTAGAGTGTAAAAACATTTCTCCCAAATGAGAGCATGTTTATTTTTCAGTATTTTATTTAAGTTCAGTTCAGGAAAAAAGAATTTGCCTTTATTGTCCACAGTATCTGCTGCTTTTGTATATTTCACTGGGCAATCCAGATTAGCTTGTTCCTGCGTCAGTAGCCTGTCTGCTAAAGAGATGCTCTGGTGGGAGAAAAAATATTGGCCTTAGCAAATTGTGGGCCAAGTTATCAGCACTACTTACTCTTGGTTGGGGCAGATATCTCCCTAGCATTATGCATGCTGGAACATTCCCCAACATTACCACAACTATTCAGGTTGAAGATTTTGCTACTTCCTGTTGCTCATGGATGAGAAAAATAGAACATAATCTATTGGATTTGTATGTGGTAGGCGAATACCATGGGCAAGGTGCTCCTTTCTGGGGGCAGTCAGCTTTACAGCATGATGGCAGTTAGGTCTGAATAGCTGGGTAGCAGTGGAACCTCTCTAGTGGAGCATTCGAGTTGTGAGAGGTGTAGCTGTACCTCAGGCATGGCCTTTGGCAGAGTGGCTTGTAGTATGTCCTCTGCTCTGCCTGTTATCTTCAGTGCTGCCTGAACATTCATTCAGGTTTGCTATGGAGATTCCAATTCATCATGTATGGTGGGCCTAAACTCACAATGACCCAGCAGGTGATGTTGTATGAAATCAGGGGAATTATGACTGAAGCTGGCCCTAGAACCCAAGAAGGATCCTGGAGATCATTCATCAGGCAGTGGCTTGTTTGTAAGGAGGTCCACTGTTTCTGGAAAGGAATAGGGCAAATAAATCAGGGAGGAAGCTGTATACCAACTAGTACAGAAATATTTATAATTTAGCAACTGATATGGGCATATCATCTGAACAGCATCCCTGATCTGGATTCAGCCAAAACACTGGGTAGTTTTCTCTTCAATTTTTAAAACCTAAAGGGTACCCTCCCTAGACAAATGCGAACTTCTCATCATGTCTATCCTTATAAAGCATGCTATCCTTGGTAATTCTAAAAGAATATTCTGTTTTTATACCATGAAGAATTATGCCTTTTCTCAATAAAGAAAACAATACATACTGATAATATTTGGTAGACTATGTCTTCAGTATATATCCTTTTATATCATGCTTATCAAAATATTTCATAAGAGATTTATAGGATTCATAATATATTTACCAGTTGATTCCAACATCTTAAAACCTTTTAAAGATTGAGGCCCAAAGGAATAGTGTGGGATGAAATTAAGATCCAGTTTTCCAAACTTCCACTTTAATTGCTATGACTATCACTAGCATATTTATTCATGCTAAAGTGACTGATGTTCCCATAGATACTCTTTCAACTTAAATAATATCTTGCAATTAAATTAGATTCTTCTATAAAACAATATCTGGTAACAGTCACATTTATATGATCATTCATAGGTATAGTCATATCTGCTAGTTGGTAAAAATAAGAGAACACTATGAAAATCAGTGAAGAATTTCTGCAAGCCATTAAGAAATACTTAGGGAAGAAACTGAGGAGACAAACAGTTGGATACGAGCATCAGAGGTGCATATTTTGCAGTGACTTTCCTGTAAGTCCCTTGAAGTCAGGATTCATTCAACAGAATTTTACTGAAGCTACTAAGGCAGGCTGGAAATACAAGTAGGACAGGAAGAGATTATTCTACAGATATGAGGTTTCCTGATGAACAGTTGTTGATACAAGTGATAATAAATGGAAGTGGCGGGAATGGAAAGGTTTAGTAGAGGAAATGACTAGTCAAGATTTTATGGGTTTAAATATATGATGTTTGTATTTGCACAGAATTGTTTTACACCTACATCCTCCTTCTGATGATACATGATCTTATGCCAGTGCTGGTGTGTCAATCATTAAGATTGAAATGTCTAGACTGGACTGATATTCTCAAGGTTCTTGGCAGAATGACTCACTTGGGTATGAAACCACATGCACACCAAACAATCACACTTTAGTCCACGGTGATAGTCTGGCATTTCTCGACATTTACAATGTTAGAAGTGAGTAACCACAGAATAGCAAGTTTCTATGCATGGTAATCTGATAAAATACTCAAGGAAGATGGAGAGAAATTAAAATGAGTTTATGTCTCTACCCTTCTAGTCCAAACATCCTTTCCCACTGATATGATTGGTACTTGTGGTCAAAATAGTGTCTACCACTTTTTCGCTGATTAAATCACACCTCTGAATTTCACTTACTCTGAAGCTTGCAAATATATATATCCTCAGATTTAATTTTTCTGTCAAAATGCATCTACAATTGAGATGTTTAAAAACAGCTAGAAAAGAACTACCAACTCTACTAAAAGTTCAGAAAAATGAAACACACATTACTATCTACATTCATGGAATTTGTCTCACACTCAAAAGGTAACAGGCAAGTATAATCAAACAGTAGGAAAATATAAGGAATCCTTTTGAAGTTTGCAGAGAACAGCAAGCACTGTTCTCTGAAGAGGTATGGTACACAGTGGTGCTAATGCATTTGGTTCAAAATTTACACAAACTGAATTAGGTTTTATCTTTAAGATGCAGAAATTAATCTGAACAAATTAATAAGTAAATGTAAACATTATGTTTTTAGAACATTAGAAAGCTAGGGAATGTAACAACAGTTACCAAGAAAAAATATATATGTAAACATGGAAAACATGTTTTTTAAAAAGGGCATTTTAGGGCAGTGAAAATACTCTGTGAGGTGATTGTGATCATACGGGTCATTGTACATTTATCAAACCCTTAGAATGTCCAACACCAAGTGTGAATCCGAAGGTAAACTGTGGAATTTGGGTAACTGTGTCAGTAAAGGTTCATCCTGGTAGAAAATGCACCATTGTGGTGAGTGACATTGATAATGGGGGAAGCTCTGCATGTGTGGGAGCCGGGAGTATTTGGAAAATGTGATTACCTCCCTTTCATTATTTGTGTAAAGCTAAAACTGCTCTAAAAATACAAAGTCTTTTAAAAAGGGGGGGCACTAGAAGTTCAGAAATGAAACAAGCTTCAGTTTTCTCTTCAGGAAAATTTCAAAGAGCACAGAAGTATCATTTAAGTATTTTCCTGTTAGAGAAAGAATAGCATTATAAGAAAGTAAACAAATATACTATTTTGAGAAATGTAATATGCTTATGTCTTCGCATTTCCTTGTGAATAGTTGTTTCCTTAGGCAGACTTGGGATCTTGGGGGTGATTATGAGAGCCACAGCAGAGAAGTCAAGAAAGAGTGAGAACTTCCCAAAGGCAGTATGCAGACAGTAGTCTTGACAGCCAGACTTTGAGAGGATTTCCTAAAATCCCTCGTATCTCCCTTTAAAATTTCTAGAAACTGGCTTAGCAAGATTGATCATAGAGTTTTGGGGAAAAAAAAAGGTTTTAGCCATAAAGAAAGAAGAAGAAAGAAAATCTTACCCTGTGGTGCCAAGGGTTGATGGGAAGAGAAAAGGAGGGGCAGGTAGAAGGCAGAGACACACATGGCTAGATATCTCTTTTCCAGGCTGAAGTCCTAATGGGGAAAGTGTGTGAAATAAAACAAGATGCCCCAAAGTCTCTCATTAATCCGGGCCAGATGGATCAGGTGAACTTGGTGTTGGAGAGACAACCTGAGTCTGGCTTCCTCTTTCACCTGCTTCTTCTGTGTCACAGATAGGATCTACAGTGCCTGTGTTCCCTGACGAGGACATGCACAAGTAAGTTGAGAGTCAGGTTGGGGGCTGCCCCAGGGAAGCTCAGAAGTCAAGGCTCAGTGGATGAGTAATCAAGTGCCTGTGAAGGTTACAGAGGGGCTGAGTCAGCAGGAAGTGGACTGTGCCCCGAGCAAATCCAGGGTGTCCAGATGTGAGTTTCATTAGCTCACGTTTCCATAGCAGATGCCTGAACACTGCTCAGATGCTCTGGAAGACCTTCCATTGCCACTGGGCTGAGGCAGCAAACTAAACCAGATACTTCACACCAGAGGTGACCCCTTCCCACAGCTTCTACAATGATCAACTAAACCACACACTTCCAAACTGTAGAAGCCTTGTTAGAAAAGGGCTCAGGAGAAAGCCTTATCTAAGATACTGTTCATCTTACCATAGATTATTATTATAGAGGATTTAGTTTGGGGATGAGACTAAATTGTTACTTTTTCTTTTAGTTCTTCCTACCTTGTAGGTGCATATGATGAAAACAATCCAGGTGTCACCAGGAAATAAACAGGCCATGGTTTCTTTTCAAATCTGAGGATGTGAGTAAATTTGCAACTCCATTACAACCATCTTATTATTATTTACTCCTTCAGAGCTTTCTAATCTTTTCCTGGAGACCTAGATTATCACTGCCCATTTTCCAAACAAGAATCTCTTTCCTTGGCTATCATGACATTGACCTTCTTTGTCTTTTCCTGTCTATCTAGGATGCCTTGTTTTGTATGTCTTTATCTGCAGATCTTTAAAACTTAGCCACTTCTCAAGGCTCATGTTTCAGTATCACATACTGATTCATTCTGTTTGATCTTTTGTTTCATGGGAAATAGTTTCATATCCAGCATGGAGGAAAGTATTTTATAAATAATTGTGTTATGATCAATTTGTTCTATCGTCTATAATTTTGTATTGGATAATTGTTTCACCCTCATCTTTAAATGAGTTCATGTGTATATGGCTTATCTATACTGACGCTATTTCAGTCTTTCAAGAACAGTGACTGTCATCAACAGGATATTGTGCAGTGCTTTACATAGCATAGGTATTTATTAGAAAACTGAACTGCTTTGGTTATGATGAGTAGACCAAGGAGACATATAAGAGAAGTCAAGAAACATTTTGTTTTAAAATAGAAACAAAACACATGGATAGCAACTAATTGAAAAGTAAAGCAATAAGAAATGCATGCTTCTTAAAGAGAATGGGCAAATACCTGTTTAACCACTTAAGTTGCATATGACCTCATGAAGTAGTCAGGTCTAATTGTAAGTTTCTTTGTTTATGTTCTTTCTTTCAAATGGATAGAGCAGTTGAGAAAACAATTACAGTAAAACAATGGCTTGTAAAACCCAGTGAGCTAGAAAATCAATTTTAATTAATTCAACTCAAAGAGTTTCCACATAACCAGCATTGACTGGGCATGTACTGTATGATTGGTAAATACGAAGAAGAAGAAAGCATGATTCTGGCCTCAAAGAACTTTAAGTTTAGCAGGGGGAATTAGGCAGAACCTAAGGCTATAAAGAAGTACAAAAAGGGGGAAACTTTTATTTTTAGGAAATGGGGAAAGTTTCTCTGAGGAAATGGCCAATGAGTTGGACTCTGCAGATGGGCAGACCTTGAGAAATATTCTGAGCAGAGAGAATCATATGTACAAAGGCATTTCCATAGAGCTTTTTCCTGCCTCTTTGCTTTTTAATATTAAGTTAATCCTCTAAATTGTAATACAAATGTGTATCAACACTGTCTACCAACATGTGTATTTATATTAAAAATGCAGGGGCGCCTGGGTGGCGCAGTCGGTTAAGCGTCCGACTTCAGCCAGGTCACGATCTCGCGGTCCGTGAGTTCGAGCCCCGCGTCGGGCTCTGGGCTGATGGCTCAGAGCCTGGAGCCTGTTTCCGATTCTGTGTCTCCCTCTCTCTCTGCCCCTCCCCCGTTCATGCTCTGTCTCTCTCTGTCCCAAAAATAAATAAACGTTGAAAAAAAAAATTTTAAAAATAAAACAAAAAAAAATATATTAAAAATGCAATCACAGTATAGAGTTAAAGGAAATTTCCATCATTATAGCATTTTTCTTTACTGAGGTAAATTTAACATATAATTGACCATTTTAAATTATACCATTTAGAGGTGCCTGGGTGGCTCCATTGGTTAAGCATCTGACTCTTGCTTTCGGCTCATATCATGATCTTAAGGTTCGGTTTGTGGGATGGAGCTCAACATAGAGCTCTGTGGTAACATTGCGGAGTCTGCTTGGGATTCTCTCTCTCCCTCTCTCTCTGCCCCTCCCCTGCTCATTTGCTCTCTCTCAAAATATATAAGATTAAAATAAATAAATAAATAAATAAAATGTACTATTTAGCTGCACACAGTGCATTCACAATGCTGTGCAACCATCAGCTATCTTTCTCATTTCAAAGCCATTGTAGGAAAGATTAAAATTACCTGAGTGATCATATAAAGTTTAAAGTCATTATCATCTGTCTCTCCTATTAATTGGTCCATGCTAAAGAAATGTCTAATTTTATTTGTTAGAAATTCAATTTGCCTTATTTAAATTAAATCTGTATTTTTGGGACTCCATACCTTCAGATTGTTTCACACAATTCATCAATTCAATTTTCCATTTTTAATAATTTTTTAGACATTATGTCCATATAGCTTAGGTTATAAGGTGCACATGAACATTTTTATTCATGGCATATATGTATATGGAATATCATTCAGCCTTTAAAGGGAAAGATATCCTGACAAATGCTACAACATGGATGAATCTTGAGGATATTAGGCTAAGAGAAATAAGCCGCTCACAAAAGGACAAATATTGTCTGATTTCACTTCCGTGAGGTACTTAGAGTAGTCAAATTCATAGAGACAAGAAATAGAAGGGTGACTGCCTGGGTCTGGGAGAAGGTGGGGAGGGGAATTTTTATTTAATACGTACAGAGTTTCAGTTTGGGAAGATAAAAAAGTTCTAGAGATAAATGATGATGCTAGCTGCACAATATGAACATACTTAATGCCAATGAATTGTACACTTTAAAATAGTTGAAATGGCAAATTTTATGTTATGTGTATCTTACCACAATTTATTTATTTATTTTTTTAATGTTTATTTATTTTTGAGACAGAGAGAGATAGAGCATGAACGGGGGAGGGTCAGGGAGAGGGAGACACAGAATCTGAAACAGGCTCCAGGCTCTGAGCTGTCAGCACAGAGCCCGACACGAGGCTCGAACTCATGGACTGCGAGATCATGACCTGAGCCGAAGTTGGCCGCTTAACTGACTGAGCCACCCAGGCACCCCTGTATTTCACCACAATTTAAAAAATAAAAATTAAAAAAAAATCTTTTCTAGTTGATCAGAGATACATTACCCCACTAAGAGGCAATGAATAAACAAACTTTCCTACTGCCATGAGAAAACACTAGGGTAAATGTCCTTATTGTGCTATAGACCTGTCATGTTCATGGTTATATTTACAGTTTCAAGTCAGAAGCACAGAAAAATCCAATAAATCAATCTCGCCATCAGGAACACCCTACGTTTACTGATAAGGGTCAGCTCACCTGGGGAAAACCAGCTTCCCTTACAAGGTTTAAGTCTTCTGCTTAATGGGGACTCCTGTTTGAAAACTGTCCTCTTGAGCAAGAGATGGGCACATCCTAACCTTCTCTTTCTTTGCCATTATGAAAACATCTAAATGGCTGTCTGTTAAGAAAGAACATATCTTGTAGCACCTTCTAACTACTGAAAATTATTCCGAATGTACACCACTCCTGACAAAGAAAACTCAACTCTTTCTGCTTTTAAAAACAAAAGGCATAACAAATACAAAAGGCTTTTAAAAACAAAAGGCACAACAAATAACAAAGACTCACTATATATTTTATTGTGATGACTTCGATTTCTGTTGGATTATAGTTATTGATATACATATATTCTAAACAAGCATATCATAAATTTGGGCATTTAAAACTGTAGCTGAGCATTTGGAGCAACAACTAATTTAGAAGATATCTATCAGTAATTCAAGCAACTGAACATACGATAAGATAAAATAATATAAAATTATAGCCTTTTAAACATTATGTTTATACTGCAACTGCTCAAAGGAAAAATTATTTTTGTCAATGATCTGTTTTTACAACATGAATATTATCAAATACTGTGCCATATCACAGGGACCTAAATTACCTGAGTCAGGAGTATTTTTTTTTGATGGGTATCTACTTTAGATTAACTTTAAATATTTTTTAAAAACTTTTGGGAAATATGGTATGTTGAGTATAAGTCCAGTTGAAAACTATCTCAAATAAAAATATAAGAATAGATGAAAATATTTTTTGTTAGTGGAGACAGTGGTAAAAATTAGGGAAGAAATATTGACTTATGTCAGGTTTATTTACTTTACTTTGTGGAGTTTTTGCCTATTCTTGGGCTTCTCGTGGCCACCACATTTAGATGTTACTCAACACTGACAGCGAAGATCTGCGTGGAATATTTCCAAGCTGGCCCTTCTCACCATTTTGCCTTTCCAAATTAGGCCTCTGACAGAATTTCCCCCTTTCCAGTAAGGTCACACCACTTTCTTAGGGAGAGAATATAGGTTGCTTTTTTATGTCTTCCTTTAGTTTGATTCCTCCTGTATTATCTATAGAAGCTTTCTTAAGGGGGGCTTGAGTTGTTTTCCTGGACAAAAGATGTTACTCTTTGATCACAAGGTAAGAGCCTGGGATATCACTGTTCCCTTACCTTTGACTCTCGCTAAGGGAATAAGCTTAGGGTTCTCTGTTCTTAAAAAGAAAAAAAAAAATCCTCCACCCTGCATTTTATTCCTTGTGATTATGGCATTACTTTCTCTACACCGTCAGGCTAACTGAAAAACTGCCTCTTATTGCTCATGGCCCAGTCACACCATGCTGCTGAAATCTACCAGTCTACTGCACACATGATCTCTTAATTTCTAAAACAGATGACTTTGGGATGCTTATCTTACCTGATGTCTCAGCATCGTCTGATGATACTATGGGCAATTCATTCCTCCTTGAGCTCTCTCCTCCTTTGGCTTTTATTTGCACCATATCTTATTTTTGCCCTCTACTTTCCCTTCTATTCATGGAGTTTTCTTCTACCCATCCCATAAATGTTGCTGTACCCAAGGTGGCCTTCCTCACAACTCAAACTTAGTGGGTTTTGTCTCCTCATTTATGTAGCTTCTTGTAGCACCAATATGCTTTGACACAAATCTGCATTTTTAGCTCAGGTTTCTCTGCAATACTGCCATATCCACAGGCTCAAGTCCTTCTGATTAAAGTCCCTACAGCATCTCACACTGAGACTCTTCAAACCTGAAATGTTCTACTCTTTTCCCACACCTTCTTTCCTACTTTATGCTCTGAGTCAGGAATTAAGAGTCACTGTAAATGAGCTAAAAGGAGAAAGCCAACAGAAGTTACTTATCCCTAAAAAAATATGAAATTTTTTGACATGAGCGTGCAATGGTTTCTATAACAAGCTAAAAATGTCCTTGATAA